GTCCAGCCCCCGCCCTCAAGGCAGGACCAAGCTCCACCTACACCATCCCTGACAGATGTCTATCTAACCTGTTCTTAAATATCTCCAGAGAGGGAGATTCCACCACCTCCCTTGGCAATTTATTCCAATATTTGACCACCCTGACAGTTAGGAATTTTTTCCTAATGTCCAATCTAAACCTCCCCTGCTGCAATTTAAGCCCATTACTCCTTGTCCTGTCCTCAGAAACCAAGAACAACAAATTTTCTCCTTCCTCCTTGTGACACCCTTTTAGATATTTGAAAACCGCTATCATGTCCCCCCTTAATCTTCTTTTTTCCAAACTAAACAAGCCCAGTTCACGAAGCCTGGCTTCATAGGTCATGTTCTCTAAACCTTTAATCATTCTTGTCACTCTTCTCTGTACCCTTTCCAATTTCTCCACATCTTTCTTGAAATGTGGCGCCCAGAACTGGACACAGTACTCCAGCTGAGGCCTAACTAGTGCAGAGTAGAGCAGCAGAATGACTTCACGAGTTTTGCTTACAACACACCTGTTAATACAACCTAGAATCATATTTGCTTTTTTTGCAACAGCATCACACTGTTGACTCATATTCAACTTGTGGTCCACTATGACCCCTAGATCGCAAATTCTTCAAGAGACGATGTTTCTTCATGGGCACGTCTGTTAACTGTATTTCCTGTGTGTTTGCAACCCTTCTGAATAGGTCCTGGAACTGCTTCAGGTCATCCAAGGGAGAGGCGTCATCTGGAATCATTGCTTCATCCGGTGACGACGAGGAACAGTCAGCTGGAGAAATGTGTGGCTGAGGATCTTCTGTCTCGGACAGTTGGCCCTCTTCTGGTTCTGAGTGGTCCTGATGGATGGGTAAGTTTTCTGATGGAGGTGGTGAAAACAATCTTTGTGGACGCTCTGGTAAGTGCTGCGCACTGGGTGATAGACGAGTACATGAAGAACCCCTATAAGATAGAGTAGCATGACCAGGGTGGGGGCGATCATATTCAGCCCTATGGTAGCGGCCATAATAACGGTCAGACCGTGCTGGTGAGGAGTATCTGGAGGATCCTGAACTGCGGATGTAGTAGATCCGTCGTGGCGACCGCCTAGGTGATCTATGCCTTGATGACCCCCTTGGGGAGCGAGAACGTGATGGGGGGCATCTTGTTTCTATATAGACCGTGTTCCTATGGGAAGGTCCTCTAAGAACTTGATAAGATGGAGAAAGGCTCTAGATTTTGTGAACTGTAGCCCACAAACAAATGTACAATGAAAGAGTTTGTATCTTCTTTAATAGCTCACATTGTTTCAAGATTTCCAGACAATGGCTTATGGTTTTGGCTAGAGCTCATTTTACTGTTCTTGTGGGAAACATGGAATTTCCAATAAATAGCTTATATGAACTCTTCCCAGTACAAAAAAAACAAACAAACAAACAAAAAAAACCCCTCCCCTGAGGAATGCCTATATAGGCTTTTAGCATATTATATACCCAATTCTTTTCTTACTTGGACCATTTTAAAACTCCTGAAATTCCATTTACTTCATTTGTTACTTCTGATTTTATACCAGTGTAAAATATTAGAAGCAGGACTTTGAACTATAAACATGCAAAATAGAGTCCACTCCATAGAAATGTAAAATAAATGAGCTAGTCACATTAAAAATGTAAAAGGGCTTTCAAAATACTAATCTTAATGATTAAAGCAGAGGTGCCAAAACATCCTGATAAGGAAAATTAGCTAGCAATTTTTGAGACTACTGTTGAAAAGAGCTAGCCCTAATCTTACTTTATTGTACTGTGCACCTTGCACAACTTTATATTGACTTGGTGGTCCCATGACCATGCAGATTAATGGAGTGCCCTATGTATTACAAGCAGCTTTGGTTTTTGTAACACAGGAGGGGAGGGTTGGCTATGTATTTAGAACATTTTGTCACAAAAATCTCGCTGTTGTAGTGAACCAATACTAACCTCTCAAAGGTAATGTACAAGTCAGACCAGGAAGAAGTCAACTGAAAAAGGAACAGCACCTGTTGTAAATAAGCTTACTGAAAAGCAACACATCTGAACAGATAGTAGAAGGTTAGTTTACAAAACCACCACACAATAATGTAATTTTCAAATCTTGTGTTGTTTTTGTTTTTGTTTTTTTTTTAAAAAGAACTGGTCAATTTAACGCAAAAGTAAGGAAGGAAGATTTCTGAACTATTCACCAAACGTGAAGACTCTGAGAGAAAACCGTTGGAACGAAACTGACAAGAAGGAGCTCTCGTCCGCGACCGAGGGCGGCTGAGAGGAACTGAGCAAGCCGGACCGCGCACAACACATCAAAGGCGCAAACGCCGCCTCGGGCAGCCATACATGCGCGGTCCGGCGGACCACGGCTCTAATAGCTCTCTGATTCGCGGCGCCGGGACAGGACCCAACACCTGGAGTGGAGCACCCACGGGGCCACTCGAAGAAGAACCAAGAATTCTCATTCATGCTGAACAAGTATCCTTTTCCAAAACATGCAATCTATAGCCTAGCTCCACCAGCAGCTGCCATGTCTCTAGCAGCGCCTTAATGCATGTAGAGGCCAGCCTCACCATTTCTCTCTATTGACACTATCTTGTTTTTCATAGCAGATCTCCACTCTTTTAACTATATGTAGTTCAGGAAGCTTGCTGTTTCTGAACATTTTTAATCCATAACCTAAGCAGTTGACAAGAACTGAACTATAGTTTCTTAAGACCAGGATTTTCACCATGATCTCAAGGGAACAAAACTAGTGGCTTTTGGAGTATGAGAGCTGGGCTCACAGATAGCAATGAACTCAGATTTCTGGGACCCAAAGCAGATCCTGGGAGGTACAACTGTGCTGTACAGAGTACTGAAAAAACAGTTTAAATAATCTGTCACTGTATGTAAAAAGCTGAAGGGTGTACAAAAGGCCAGGAGAATTCTTTGGAGCACTCAAATATTTTTTAAAAAGATGCCTTAATTGTGGAGACATGGACGATACTGAAGAAAGGGGCACAGTACTGAAATAAGAGCACTATTAATGGATTCTGATCTCTTACAACTTTGTATGGACAAAGAGTGAGCATAGAGGAAACAGTTTTTCTAATAGAAAAGAGCCCACAGATATCCTCTATGGATATTCTCTACAAATGTTAAAATGTGGGTAATGGTGTAAATGTGTAACAACAGCTGAAAAACTCCTTGGACAGAGGATGTGGAACTCCTTGCCAGAGGATGTTGTGAAGACTAGACTTTAAAAGGGTTAAAAAAAGAACTAGATGCATTCATGGAGGTTAGGTCCATCAATGGCTATTAGCCAGGATGGGTAGGAATGGTGTCCCTAGGCACTGTTTGTCGGAGGCTGGAAATGGATGACAGGAGAGAGATCACGTGATAATTACCTGTTCTGTTCATCCTTCTTGGGCATCTGGCATTAGCCACTGTCAGAAGACAGGATATTGGGCGAGATGGACCTTTCGTTTGACCCAGTATGGCCGTTTTTATGTTCACCATGTTGTTCTGATCCAAAGCTTCAGCACTGCACAGTGTTAATTTGGCTTTTCACTCTGGGAAGGCTAATGTCAATCCTGCTTGGAAGACTCCCTGAAACCTGCTTTGGGTGCCACGGTAGTCCCTGGACCTCTGATTGAGAAACACTGACCTAAACCAGTATATAGTGTTGAAAAATTCAATCCACTTGTTCTATGCTAAATAAGGATGGTAGCAATGGGGAGTTAATGATACATAGCAATGGGCAAGTTCCGTTGTCTACTTACATTGTTTCATATGCTATGGAAGTTTCTTCTCTATTGGATAAGCAAGGCCACCATTTTTCATCTTATTTATCCATTTCAAGTTTCAGATGCAAAGGAGTGTGAGTTGTCAGGAATTTTTCATTATTAAATTAAAGTTTTTTGAGATCTTGTACCACAGGTGATTTTATCCTAACAGATTTGTTTTCTAATTGGAATAATTTGTATTTCAAACATTTTGTCTCCCATTTTTGCATATTCCTGAAAGGCATCTAAGAATTAAGGCCACAGACACCCTGGCCAGCTGGTGACTGAAAGACTGGCTAGAACACCACAAATGGTGTGTTTTGATTGGCTCTCTTTGTGTGAGGGCTGATCATGGTGATTTAAGAACTGAGGATGATCCCGTTAGTGTTGTAACTACATGCAAAATATGGTGAAGACTAAAACAAATAAAAAGATAATTGTGTGATTAGTACACAATTTGAGATTAGTACACTTCTTAAAGGATGTGGATTATACAAACTAAGACATATCTTTTGTGAATGTCATCACCTTACTTCCATAATAAGCATGGATGAGAGCAGCCCGTCAGTGGCAGATCCCCTCTCTGGCTGGAGCAGTCCCCTACCCGTGGCAGTCAGGGAGCTGCTCCAGACCCCACTGGTTAACGGTTAATCAGTTGGTTAATCTTTCACATCCCTAGAACCAATAATGTATTTTATCATCAGGTCCAATAAAAAACTAGAAAATGGATTTCAGAAATGATATGTTCACTGTCTATAGAAGAGAGATGGGAGAGTCATAATGCCTTTGAATTAATGTTTTGTCTGAAGCTGGCAAGTCAGGTTGAGTGGGAGGAAAGCCTTTGTCTCAGAGGGGCACCTGTGCCCTTAAGGCAATATGCTTGGCAAAATATTTTATTTAGGCCATTAAATGTAATAAGAAACTAGTTAAAAAAGTTAGAGAACTACCCCCTTCCCCACTAATGATTCATCCCAAGATTAATATTATGGCTCTTCGTAGGTCTCAATATACTTCAAGTAAGCCTAGAGTAGACCCTTCAGCCAGAGAGAGATGCAGTTATGGAATGTAAAGCAGTGAATAACTAAGACTGCCATTTGGCATACATGGTGTCAGTCATTTCAGTGTTTATTCAATCAGCTTCTTTAGCAGAGATTGAGAAAGAAAGGAGCAGTTCTATAGCAAACCAAGAGCTTTAGTGCAACCTGGTTCTTACCTATTGGGATGGATGAAATCTGAGAGTAGAGATCCAGCATACGGTTTCCATCTACATCTACAAGGTAGTTACCTCGGCTTTCTTCATAATTGCAAAAAAAGTGCACAGCTTCTGCATTCTTACAGAAAAAAAAACAATAAATCTAGTTGGTGTCAGATTATTCAGTTCAATCTGGAGATACACTCAGTAAATGGAGATATATAGCAAAACCTTTCAAAAGTATCTATTGATAAAATACAAATGTACATATCTCAGTTATATGGGAATTAAGTTTATTGTAGCCCCTTACAAAGAGGGATTTTAATAAGAAATGCAGTAGAGAAGAAGAGAGAACAGAAAGCAGCACACTATTTCACACCTCACCTAAGGTGTTTTACAAATATCCGTTAGTTAATTAAATGAAGTCAAGGGAGCTGACAGAATTGTCAGCCTTTGGGGCATGAAGGAGGAACCCAGCTACCTACTCGCAGAAGGCGTAGGGCCTGGGGCAGCCAGACCTCAGTGCCGGACTGTCCCCCACCCAGTGCTTTTTTTGTATTATTAAAAAAAAAAAAAAAAAAAAAAGGGCCGCTGGTAATCCAGGGGAAATGTTGTTGAGCTCTGACTGAAGGTGCTGGTACTGTGTCTGGAGGTGCCAGTACTGAGTACCGGGCAGTACAGTCACAAAAAAAGCACTGCCCAAACCTATGCCTCCCAGCCTTCAGCAACACCAGGAGTGCATCACCTGGGGCTCTAACAGCAATTTAAAGAAGTAGTGGCAGCAGCAGCTGGGAGCCCTTGATCCTTTTGAATCGCTGACTCCTAGAGCAGCTGCCCCTATTCGTTCCCCCCTACCCGCACTGCTCAGCAGGCCAGACTGAAGTTAACGATTTGCCCAACGTAAAATACTAAATCAGTAGCATAATAGAGAATAAAACACAGTATTCCTGACTCAGTCTTCTTTTCTAATCAGCTGCACACATAATGTGTGTGCTTGTGGAGGAGGGACTTCGCATGTACAGCCGCTCCCCGAGTTACGAACAAGTTACAGACCAACACTTGGGTCCATAACTCGAAGTGTTCATAACTCGGATCCCATAGAGTTACATGGTGACCACGCTGTTCATAAGCACGGATCGCCGTTCATAACTTGGATCTGCATTTACGACCACTTTGGTCATAAGTGCGGACGGTCGTAAGTGGAGGTGATCGTAACTCGAGGAGCGGCTGTACCAGTTTGTGAGGAAAGTTGAACAACTGCAAGGGTGCAGTTTTGTCACGTAAGTTAAGTGTGCACATTACAAAATTGCTCTTTTGGTCAGATTTAGTAGGAATCCCTAACCAAAACAGTAAAAAAAAAGGGGGGGGGGGGGCAGGGACTTCAGCAAATATTTCAGCAATATTTCAAAACTGTTACAAAGTTTTCTTCTATTCAAGATTGTACAATAATTTAGCCATAAAATACTACAGTCACAATTCAGGACACTGTACTTGTATTCTCCTAGTGCACCAGTTTCCTGTGTTACTTCCAGCAAGACAAACACCTATAGGATCTATATCAAGCATTCTTAAAACTTAAATACCAACCCGGAGAGATGAAAAAAATAGATTGACAGAGCCAGACGAGTACCCAGGCATCAGCTTATCAAGATAGGCCCAACAAAGACAACAACAGAACACCACCGGTCATCACCTACAGCCCCTAACTTAAACCCCTTCAGCGCATTAGTAACCATCTACAACCTATCCAGAACAATGACATCTCACTCCCACAGGCTTTGGGGGACAGGCCAATCCTCACCTACAGATAACCCCCTAACCTCAAACCAATTCTTTCCAGCCACCATGCATCACACCTCCATCATACCCAGAAACCTACCCTAGCAATCAACTCCGGTGCCAAGTCTGTCCACACATCTATACAAGCAACATCATCACAGGACGTAACCATATAAGCCACCACATCAGAGGCTCATGTAACTGCACATCCTCTAATGTGATATATTCCATCAAGTGCCAGCAATTCCCCTCTGCCCTGTTTATTGGACAAACTGGAGAGTCTCTACGACAAAGGATTAATGGACACAAATCAGATATTCAAAATGGCAACACACAGAAACCTGCTGGGGAACATTTCAATTTGCTTGGGCACTCACTAATGGATCTAAGTGTCTGTATTATTTCAAAGCAATTTCAAAAGTCCCCTGGAGAGAGAAACTACAGAACTGAGTTTCATTTACAAGTCTGACACCTTGAATAGAGGACAGGCCACTACTTTCCACATCCTAATGACATAACACCGTGTACTAAGATTACTTATGGACCACTCTATTCACCTCATTTAGCATGGACACTCTAATTGACAACATTTTTTCTCCATTTTCCCCTCTTCTTTTTCCCTTCCCATCTCTTCTTTTTCTCTGCTATTTATTTGCAACCTGAACCCCTTTAACTCCATTCATCTGAAGAAGTGGGTTGTGGTCATGAAAGCTCATGATACCATCAACATTTTTATGAGTCTCTAAGGTGCTGAAGGACTATTCACTGTTTAAGTTTTTCCAGCAACGACAATTTACCTAAAATCAGGTTGACTTCTCCTCAGACTGATAACAGACCGACTGCTACAGTTCTAAGCACCACACAGCTCTTTGTAAGCAAGCCTACTTTATTCTGAAGGTAAAAAGCATCAGAGAAAACATATTAAAAGACCCCTACACACATGCTAACAAGCTAACTGAGATCACCCTAACTCAAACATGAAAGACTGCACTTGCTTGAGCCCAACACCCCACACATTAGGGGTCTCCTTGTGGTTACAAATTCATGACAATGTCAGCTCAGAACAAGTACACAGAACTCAGTACACCAAATTCTTCCAATCCTGTCCTGTCCATTGTCTGGATCAGGAAAAGGCCACGAGTCAAGTTTAAATTCAGGTTATTTATCCAAAACTCTTTTGTCAGTCTCCGGAGAAGCCGGTTTGGACTTGTGTGTGTCTGTGGAAGTGGGGGATAGGGATGTGTGCAAATGGCTTCAGAATCTGATAATGGAGGAAGTATATTAGCACCCCCTTTCTACTTAAGAAGGTACATACAATTTCTACTTAAGAAGGTACATACAGTAGCACATGCACAATTGCATTTGTAATACAGAGTACCCCAAGGAACCAACACCAATTCAATAAGCAGGACTATGTAGCACTTTAAAGACTAACAAGATGGTTTATTAGGTGATGAGCTTTTGTGGGCCAGACCCACTTCCTCAGATCAAATAGTGGAAGAAAATTGTCACAACCATATATACCAAAGGATACAATTAAAAAAAAATGAACGCATATGAAAAGGACAAATCATATGTCCTTTTCATACGTGTTCATTTTTTTTAAAACCTTATAGACTAACTGAAGAGTTGGAGCATAAGCTTTCGTGGGCAAAGACCCACTTCATCAGATGCATGTCAAGATAATATTTTAATTGTATCTTTTGGTATATATGGTTGTGACAATTTTCTTCCACTATTTGATCTGAGGAAGTGGGTCTGGCCCACAAAAGCTCATCACCTAATAAACCATCTTGTTAGTCTTTAAAGTGCTATATAGTCCTGTTTTTTGTTTCAGCTACACCAGACTAACATGGCTACATTCCTATCACAATTCAATCAGGTTTAACTTTATTCATTAAAGTGTATCTTAATTCCATAAGGTTTGTTCAGGGTATTGTCAGTCTGTCAGAACTACTCCTAGATTTAAATCTTTCCTGCATAGTTTTGTACTGTGAACCTAAAGCTATAAAATCTGACTTAAAAACAGAAATGCTGAGAGAAAGGCATAAAAAAATAAACTTGATGAATTACCTGAATTCCATTTAGCTGTTTCATTAACTCCTGAAAGAAAATAATAAAAAAATTAAGTGTCTTGGATGAATTTAGGTTGTATTTCCTTTTAAAAATCTGACTCTGTCAGAGAGAAATACTATCTAGCTAACTGAAACCTTCACATCACTTTCAAAACTACAGTATCAGTCTGTAACTTGCACAGCCAGTTCTGTATTCCATCTGAAGGACTAGGAAACAAGCAAATATACTTTTTCCCTTTCATCAAACTCTAATTCTTAATACTATCAACAGAAATTAGGAAAACAGGACATTAGACATAAAGGGCAAAATTTCCTCTCTGATCAGACATTGTGACTCTTTACTCAAATATTCTGCCATTTCCTGAGCAGAGTTCGCCTCTATACCCCTGTTCCCTCGGTTTATGGGCCCTGGTGCAACTGTACCACTTAGTCTACTGAAGCCACACTATTAAAGTAGAATTTTACAGGTGAGATCTTTCATGAAGATCTGGGAGGAAAGTTTTATTTTAAAATATTTAGACATATACACAGCCTGATGTTTGCCTAACATTTGCCTTAACAATTTTCATAATCTGATCTAAGTGTATATAGAGTTATTTTTCTGCTGCTAGGAATTCCATTCATTGGTGCTCATCAGTTTTGTTTCTTCCATTCTAGCCTCTCAATCAGGGGTAGTGTTCTCTTTAATCTGCACACTTGCATGACCACACGCTAAAAGTTTTAGGTCTGCCCACGTAATTTTAAGAGCCATGCAGTAGCACTCACCACTTGCCTTCCTGCTGGAATGGAAGGTGAGTGATGGTGGCGGCGGTGGGCAACTACCCTTTTAATCCACCTGGTGCCGGGGAACTCTTCTGGTAAGGCTGCCCCAGCTGGAATGGGCCTTGTGCAGCTGCTGCTTTACTTCAGCTGGAATGTGTGACGTGAGGCTGTTCCAGCTGGGGCAGCTTTATCAGAATGGGCCTCGTGTTGCTGCCACTTTACTCCAGCTGGAGCCAGGGCTGCCTGTAGTGCTATCTTTAGTCCCTTCCGGGGACTGGGACCACCGTACTAAAAATAGCACCATGGGCAGCCTCTGCTTCAGTCCCAGCACGCAGTCCCACCCAAGGAGCAGGTGGGGCTGGAGCTGCGGGAGTGCAAGAAAGGAGGGAACAGTGTGATGCTGGTAGAGGAAAAGGGAGGGACAATGGGGGCAAGAGGGAGGAAGAGGAGTGGGGAGGAGGGGGTGCCTGGAGAAGAGGGGTTGAAAGAAGAGGTGGGCATGAGGAAGGCGGGGGTTGGAGCAAGTCATATGTGAGGGCACAGAGGAGCATGAGGAGAATTGGGGCAGAGGGTGGTTAGGGGGTAGGCACCAGGGAGAAAGAGGGAAAGAAAGGCAAGGGCAGTGAGGGAAGGGGGAGGCACCAGGAAGGGGCAGGGGTAAAGGAAGGTGCAGGTGCCAGGGTGTGACGTACTGTGGGTACCTTGCTGGTTGCTAGGCTTGGGTTGTGAGTGACCTCCACTGGCTGCTGTCTGCAGCACGGCCCAGCAGGGCAGGGGATGAGTCATTATGCAAAGGGGCTTCGAACTTGTCTGACCAGTTATCTCCCAGGGAGCGGAACTATGGGAAGAAGGGGAGCGGAGCCCTGGGTGGGGGCAGGGCTGGAAGTGAGTTAGTTAGGTTTCTGGCTAATATCATGGAAGAAGCAGCCTAGGCAACAGGCTCGGATTTAGGGGCCCAGGCTCCCCCATCTCAAGAGGGGCGGAGGCATCCTAGGCCTGCCCTGAAACCAGATTACATCTATGCTGTGCTGTATCCTGGAGAAGCAATAAACTCCCTCTAGTCTACTGGCTGGTGGAGTCAGTCCGTGCCATTACGGGGGTGCAGGAGACGGGAAAACCCCAACATGCCGTCACACAGGGGTATTGTGGAAGTTAAGCAGAAGGGTAGACATGTGAGGGGAGGGACAGGCACCAAAGGACAGAGACAGGCCAGGCGGGTAGAGGGAGGTGTTAGGAGAGGGGATGGCGAGAGGTAGCTACAGACGATCAGAGTGGGGCTACAGGAGGAGTGGACACTTGGAAGAGAAGGGTGAGTGCAGGGGTCAAGGAGGAGGAGGAGGAGGCCAGGTCCCCAAAGGGTTGAGGGGAGTGATAAGGGCAGGAGCCAGGACAGCAGAGGAGGGTGTGGGGTAGCAGGCACCAGGGGAGCAGATGGGGTGAGAGGAGGGTGGGAGACTTGGCAGCAGTGGGACAAGGGAGAGGTTTATAAGATATTTATTAATAACTGGGTGCCACAGTGGGACACATCTGAACAAGCGCAAATTAACTCAATACTGGTGAACATGACAAAACACACTCCACTCATGAATGGAAAATCTTTGTGGGAGGAACACTGATCTGGGGGACTAAAAGAAATCGGATTCAGTGTAACATATAATGATGTTTATTTATGATTACAATCATCTTTAGCTCCTGGTTTTTATATATCAGGCATGGCACTGTGTGCTAGTCAATCAAAATACGGCTACTGGGAGGTAGGGGAGGGGAGGATTACAACTACCTCACTTTGTAAACTTACTCTAGACCTAGGCCCAGGAACTTCTGTCTTCATTAATGGTCCGTCATAATCGAAGTCCACATCAATTTTAGCTGCAGTTTGACTGATCAATCTGTGCCCTGCAAGAAATAAAACAATGGAAAAAATGAAATTACAAACTTCCCCTAAAATAAATCTCTGATTCTTTACCATAATAAGATTATCCAGTAGCTGAGGGCAACTATGTTGTATTCTGTGAAGAAAAATTTCATGCCCGATTCTGATCTTATGCCAATGTAACTTCAAGGAAGACAGTAGCATCACCCTAGGTCAAGGGAGATCAGAATTGGGGCTCCCCAGCTCTGCATTAGAGAAGAGGCGGCACAGTCTACTGGTTAGAGAAGGGAGAATGGGAATCAAGAATCCTATGTTCTATTTCCAAGTCAGCAGCAGAGATGATGTGTTACACTGAACAAGTCTATCCCTGAACTCCCATCTGTAAGTGATTCACTACGTTCAGAAGTGCAGTGACCACTTGAAAATTCCGATGGAGCCCTCAGATGAAAGGTGTTAGCGCAGGCCTGGGCAAAATCCGGCCTGCAGGCAAAATCCAGCCCACCAAGCCATCGGATCCAGCCCACAGAGGCAGCGGGGAGCCCCAGGCAGGCTCCTCAGCTTGCCCCGCAGCCCCGTGTGCTGTGCAGAAACGCAGTTGCAGGGCTCAGTTTGTTTTGAAACTGGATGGGAGGGGGGAAGTTTTAGGAGCCATCCCGCTCCCAGCTCATTCCCATTGGCCTCTTTCTAGCAGAAACCAGCCAATGGGAGCTGTTTGTTGATCTAACAAGTAGCTAAGAATAATCATGCCCCCTCTCCTGGGCTCAGATATTCATGAAGCACACGGCCAGGCAAGCGCCTGCTAGCTGGGAAACATTTTAAGCTCTACAAGCTGGCAGGTAGGTTAGTTTGGCAGCTGGCAAGTAAGTCTCTTGGCCACAGTCTACTTCTGGTACCCCAGCTCTTTCCTGCCCCACCTCTGTCCCCCCCATTCAACATACCCAAACCACCTGTCCCCCTCTTACTCCCATACCTCCTCCCAGATCTGGCACCCCACTCTCTTGCCCCAGATCACAATCCCCTCCTTCCCTAGGTCACATCCCAAACCCCTGCACTCCAGTTCCCTGCCCTAGATCACAACCGCCCACTTCATCCCAACTCTCTCCCAGACTCCCTCCTGCACCCCAGTCCCTTAACCCCAAGCTCCTTTCTGCACCCAACCTCCATCCCAGACCCCGCATCTCCATTAATATCATGGAAGAGTGCAGCCATCAATCACTTTCCAAAATCTTGGAGTGGCCCCTTGTCAAAAATTATTGCCCATTCCTGAGTTAGCATATGTTTAGTAATAATTCTAAGGGTGTAAAAGAAGATGTATACCTCAAAAGAAAAATGACTGTTAAACAAATGAATATTGCATGACTAAGACAGCAGTACTGCATGATTAGAGAGCTGGGTCATATTGTGGTTATCTTTATTCTCACCTATGGCTATACTGCTGCTCTGTAGCCATGCGTGTAATGGAGGATAGATTACAGACCTGACATCTCTAATGAAGCAGAAAGGCAGAAAACTACCATGCTTCATCAGAATAGATTGCTCCAGTTTTTTTAAAGGAACGTGGGCAAAATATAGGGTTTGCATGTAGGTTGTAGAAAACAGCTTTTCCTGTTGTCCCCACCAAAACTGTAGTATTTTCAAGAGTAAAGTAGTTCACAAGACGGATTCTCGGTGCTGTTTATTGAGTAAAATCTGAGGCATTCACATGTGATGAAAAATAGCAAGGCAAATTTTGTAGGATCTTAAGGTTTTTAAACTTACAATGCATTCATAGAATCCTAGAGCTGGAAGGGACTTCAGGAGGTCATCGAGTTCAACCCCCCTCCCTAGGTAACCCATTCCAGTGCTTTACCACCCTTCTACTGAAATAGTTTTTCCTAATATCCAACCTGGACCTCCCCACAGCAACTTGAGACCCTTGCTCCTTGTTCTGCCATTCGTCACTACTTTGGAACCTCCCCTCAGGTAGTTAAAGACTGGTATCAGATCCCCCCTCACTCTTCTCTTCTATTGACTAAATAAGCCCAAACTCCTCATAGGGATGTAAGAGAGTAGTTGATTAGTCAAGTACCCGATGAACCTAGGCCTAGGCTTATTTGGTAGTCGAGTTGACTACTTGCATTCCCCCCACCTTTGCTTGCTGCCTCTATATCAGAGGCAGCAAGCAGGGTGTGGGGGGAAGACAGAGGGGGAGGAAGAGAAAGGAAAGGAAGAATCAGTGCTGGGGGAAGCCTTAAAAGTTTGTTCCCCCCCCCCCCCCCCGCATTGTCTTTGCCTCCCTGCTGCTGCCTCTATCAGTGGCAGCAGGGGAGTTTGCTTCACGGAGCAGCCCCTGTCTGTGGGGGATTCCAGCTCCCCATTGGGACCCCCCACAAACAGGGGCTGCTGCTAGCTGGGCAGGCAGCCGGGCTAAGTCCCTGCTTGTGCTGGGGCCAAACCCTGCTGCAGCTCTACAATTTAAAAAACAGTACAAGCTGGGCAGCCTACCCACCGGCTTCTACTGTGTTTTAAATTGCAGAGCTGCAGCAGGGTTTGGCCCCCAACCCATTGCGAGCAGGGACCGATATGGGCTGCTTGCCCAGCTGACTCTTACTACATTTAGGAGCCAGGGGGTAGGATGCCCGGTTCCTACTGACTTTTAAATTACTCTTTTAAGCTGAAACGAGGTTTGGTCCCAGCATGAGCCAGAACTAAATCAGGCTGCCTAAATGTAGTAGGAGTCTGGTGGGCAGGCAGCTCAGCTCAGTCCCTGCTCACGCTGGGTCGGGGACTAAATCCCACTGCATCGCTGCAATTTAAAATGCAGTAGGAAGTGGGGGGTAGGCTGCCTGGCTCCTACTGCCTATTAAATTGCAGAACCGCAGAGGGGTTTGGTCCCTGCATGAGCCAGGACTGAGCTAGGCTGCCTTCCCCTATTGAGTAATTGAGCAGTCGATAAAAATTCTATCGACTTTTCGATTACTAAAATAACCTAATTTTGACATCCTTAATCCCTCAGCCGTTCCTTGTAAGTCAAGTGCTCCAGTCCCTAATCATTTTCGTTGCCCTCAACGGGACCTTCCCCAGTGTGTCCACATCCTTCCTGTAATGGATGGCCCAGAAGACAGGTGCAGAAGCAAAAGTGGCATGGTATCATATTGCCACCCTTATTTTTGCACTGCTGCTGATGGGGTACTGTCTCATATAAGTGCTCAGCTACCAGCTGCCACTCTCTAGCCACCCAGCACTGAAGGCAACCCAGAAGTAAGAATGACTCCCCCTAAAATAACCATGCAACTCTCTGTAGCCCTCTTTTGGGTCAGGACTCCCAATTTGACAAACACTGGCATCCCTGGTGAAAACTGTATAGCAGAAGCACACAAAAGACCAAATTTCAAGGCAAGAGACCAAATTTCAAAGCCATGAATTTGGTAGACACTGTTAACAGTTGTACACAGTTCCAAGATGTGACTTGTGGGCTGCTCCGGATGGTAGCAATGAGGGTGCTGCTTGTGTGGAATCTTTCCTCAGGAAGAGGGACGCGACCTATGGTGGAATCAAGCTCGGCTCCGATGAAGTTGCTTTGCTGGGTGGATTTTAATATAGATTTGTCCATGTTTATTTGCAGACACAGTTTGTGGAAGCACCAGATGGTCTTTGATGTTGCTAAGAGGGCATAGGCGGGGGACTTCAGGAGATAATTGTCTAGGTAAGGGAAGATGAGACAGTGTTTTCTTAGGTGAGCTGTTATGTTCACAAGAACCTTTAAAAAGACTTGTGGTGCAGTGAAAAGACCGAAGGGAAGGACAGTGTATTGGTAATGGTCCACCCATAAAGTAAATTTTATGAAACATCTGTGGGCTGGGAGGAGATTGAGAGCTGAAAACTAATCTCCCTGCCCCAGGATAATCGTCAATTTTGGTTTCTTGATGTATCTGCTCAAGCACTGAAGGTCTAAAATGGGTTGCTAGCCACTGTTTTTTCTTGCCTGTCAAGGAATAGAACCCCTCCCCCCTGTAATGAGCAGGTACTCACTCTATTACTCTGAGTTGCACCTCGTTACAGAGTAATTGCACATGAGAGGGGACCCTGAAGAGGGATGGGAAAGGTGGATGGGAGAGAGGATAGGGATTCTGAAGGGGATGGTATATCCAGAGCAGATAATTTCCAGGACCAATCTGTTTCTGGTAACAGCTCCTAAATTCTTTCTCTATCATCCCTGGCTAGAGACAGAGTCTAGCAGCCCCGCAACTCTTCTTTTCTTAAAACTTATTTCCTCATCTTCATTGCTAGTTTGTTCTTAGTTCATAGATTAAATTAGATTTTTTTTTTGTAAAAAGAAGGCAAACAAACAAAACAAAAAAATCCAACAAAAAAAACACCCTTCATTTATCTCAGCATATTGCCATGTTGGACTCTCCAGGATTTAAGTCATGTTCCTGCTGTAGACAGGCCATCCCTGTTTCAGATGGTCACGCATAATATGTCCACTGTTTGGAGGAGTTTCATGTACCCCAAAATAATGTGTACATTGCAACAAGGCTCAAGAGTGCAAACGCAGAGAACTGCTCTTAAATCTACTGCTTTTCCAAGACTCCCTCAGATCGGCATCTGACCCAGGACCCCACCCCAACATCAGAAAAAGATAGAAAGCCTGTCAAAAAACAAACGGCTTTCTCTTCATAATGGAGCAGACACCCTGCAAAAAGATTAAAGCCTAAGTCATTTTCCTGAATGCTGGCCACTCCACAGCTCAGCACGTAAAACTTGACAGTCACCTCGGCACCGATCGTGAGTTGGCTGCAGTTTCAAATAGTGCTGAGGTTCAGGGCTGTCAGCTGCCACAGGATGGCCACAGTGCTGCTACCACACACTATGGCAGTGGCAACAACCTTTGATGCTGCCACACTGTTTTGATATCTATTGCGCTAACACCACCCTGCTCAGTACTCTGGCACCAACACAATATACAGCCCCCACAATGTCATCACTGCCTCAGTCAAATACAGTATCACAGCATAACCAGCACCATACCATTCACTGTGGTTTGACATGCACAACAGTTTTTCCATCAGGCTGACCTGACTATAAATCACTCCCTGGATGAGGAGGATGTGGTGTAGAGAGAATTGTTTTCACGTTATTCCTCACCAGTCAGGCTACTGACATATGGGGACCCTCACAGACAACCCACATCTGCCAGAGAATGACTGCCATGTTACGTTCCCCCGTGGATGAGACCACCAATGCCATTCTCCAGCCATGCTGGAGCACATGGGACTACTATAGGACAAGGCATAGCACCCACCATGTATCATGGAGGCAAGGGTTCAAGGTTTGGTATCATGGCAAACAAACCATTAAAAATCCTTTAAATCTTTTATTAAAGATAAAAAAGACAGTAAAACAATTAAAGCATCTGAAATATAAATTAAGTCAAGTTTTCTTTAACAATATCCCTTATTCTTTTGCCCTTAAATTAGAGAAAAATTTTAGAAGGAAAACTGCCCAATTTGACATTCTTTTCTAGAGTAGTAAAGGTAGTAATAGATGTCCTTTTTGAAGAAAAGAGAAGTTAGCTGAGATGGTCTGGAGCTGTTGTTAAAATCCGGACTTATTTCCTAAAAGATAAAATGGGACAAATATAGAATATGAAACTTCTAAGTCTGGTGTTAATTCTCACTTGCAGCCTCTCTGCTAGAGAAATACAGGCACAGCACACGGTCTTAGCAGATACTCTGAGGCTTGGCACAGCATTGGGCTGTTTATGGAATTGCTGTTAGCTGCCTTTTATCAAAGACCTACAGCAGTGTTATGAAGTCTTGGCCGGCTAAGCCAGATTTTCGTTAAACAAAAGACAAAAGGAGAGAGATAGGAAGGAGAAGAAATAAGATAGTGGGACGGAGGAGACATAAAAGTTGGATGGGGAGTATGTGATAGTGAGCATGTGATAGTGAGCACATACCATTGGAGATGGTAATGTCATTTGGGTCCTTCCTGTTCTGTTTTGTTCTGGCCAGGACAAGCTCAGGATTAGGACAAGAAGGCCTAGTGGTGTATCCTGAGAGACAGTGAAAGCGACTGCCATGACGGTGAAGCTTTCTACAGGCTGAACCTCTCTAACTTGGGACTCTCTGGTCTGGCAACATTCAAGATCCAATTGGGCTATCCACCAGTGCTGGGAGCCCAGCACACCTCAGCTGGGCTTCCCGGCAATGCTGGGAAGCATGGTGGTACCAGTAGGGCAGAAGGGATGGCAGCAGGCTCTGGCCAGCATCCAGTCCAGAGCTGTGGGGAGGGAGTGATAGCGGTAGCAGAAGGGCCAGAAATGACCTCCCCTGGTCTGCAAACATTTTTCACCCTGGACTGTTCCGGGATGGTCCAACTTGATCTTTCTTTTCTCTCTTTCAGTAAGCCAATTCCCACATATTTTTCTTAGAAAGTCTTTTTTTTAGGGGACCGCTCAAGGGAATGATCAATGGAATAGCCCACCTCCTCATTATGTTTCCACTAATTAAGCCTAATTTCCAAACCACCAAATTTGATCTGTTAATTTCAAGTCCTACATTTCTCTCGTTTACCAGACATGATATTAACACAGAGCTTGCATTATACGAGCAGGTCTTTTTGCTTGTCTGTGCCCTTTTTGCACTTTCACCCATCAACATTTATTGTGACAAGTTATTGTGATATTTTATGAATTTTTATTCACTTTCCCCACAGTTAAGTTCACAAATAGAATAACTCTGTAGGACCAATTATCAATAAAGCTCCCAGGTAAGGGAGTTTTGTGGGGCTCCCACAAAAAAGTGGGTGGGGTTACAGATGCTTGCCCCCGATGCTTTTTTTTGTTTAAAAAAAAAAAGTGCCGTTACTCCAGGAGAAAAGTTGTTGAACTCAGGACTGGTCAAGGATGGTCCAACTTGATCTTCCTTTTCTCCCTTTCAGTCAGCCAATTCCCACCTATTTTTCTTAGAAAGTCTTTTTTTGAGCTCTGACTGGAGATACTGGTACTGCATCTAGAGGTGCCGGTGCTACTTTCTCTGTTCTGTACAGCATGGGGAAATCTAAAGGGAAGGGTGTCAGCAGTAGTGTACTCAAGATTTCCACAAATGTTCTCCAGAGAGGAAAGGGGTAACATAACACTCCTGGGTGTCCAGTAAACAGCAGTGAACTAGTATCTATGGTTCCAAGAGCATGAGACTGCCCCTATTGTCTGAACTAAAAACACCACTCTGTTAGCCAAAGATGTAGTAGCGTCATCAATCTCTATCTGGTCCAGCCATCACTACACGGAGACAGAGAACCACAAAAAGCAGTTGTGGTTACAGATGTTTGCCCCCAACCCTACTATATTCTTCAATTTCAAGGGATAGGTTCACAACACAGCCTTGAACAGCCTTGACACTCATACCCGGTCCCTGGATCATCTGCTCTTCCCTGTAACTCCCTGGTGGGGTTTTTCCACACTCTAGGAGGATCCCCAATGCAGAAGGACGCTTCTGAAAAGTTGGCCAAGCAAAGGTAAGCTGCTCTCTGAAGTACAGCATTTAAAAGAAAATCAATTCCTTTAGTACAAAGTTTAATTTCTGAGTGGAAGTGATGCTTAGTTTGTCTGCATTTTTTTCCGAGGTGGGTTTAACATTTATTAGCAAATAAGAATGAGCCATTTAGTCCAAATTTCATTTGATATAAAACTGGAGAAAATAGACTGTCTTATATTTTATGCTGTTTCAAAACTCGGCTCAATCCATACCTTTAGAAAAAATCATGAGGGCCCAGAAGTTTATTTGCTTTGAAGAAACTGTAGGCTTAATATTTCTATACAGTATACTAACGTACAGGGCAATATCCAAGCAATATTTTTTTCATTATATACCTAGGATCAGATAATAGTTTGACACTTTATATAATTCTTACATGAAATACATAGCTAACTGGTGCTCCGTCAGAAAAGTAATGTGCTCTCAATGTGTTCTTTACTAATGCAAAACTCCCACTGAATTAACGGAGGTAAGGAATGCAGAATTGTACCTAATGTGCATAAAAAAGAATAAATAATAAAGGCCACTTTTGACAATTGATTTCTTATTTCCACACCATCCAATGTCAGAAAGATGCCCCATAAAAGCAGAATTCAGCAGATGAAAAAGAGATTTGTTTATTTATGAAAAAAATCTATTGTTGCATAAAATACTTCCTATCTGAATATTTTTTCCAACATTTGCAGTCTTTTAAGAAAAACTATTTCTGACATTTCTGGGCTATGACTGTAGAATTAGTTAAAGCTGCTGAATGCAATGGTAATGTTTCCAAATATGAAGGATCCAAGATTATTAAACAAAACATGGCATCAGTGAATCACATTGATAATATTTTATATAGGCATGAAGCATTAAAGAAAGAACTTACCACATGCAAAGAGCCTGCAGTTCTGTTGCAGGGAACAAGTCAGCTGTCGACTGAGCAACATTGAGGCCATTTTACTCTTTCTTTAATCAGAAACTCCTCAAACTGGAGAGAGAGCCTTTTCCCAGTTTCTGTTCTGAAAAAAAAAAAAGAAAAAAAAGAAAAAAAAATGCATCTGTGTTCCTACTGATCTAGTCATCATGATTACCGCTTCACTCCTCCAAATGGAGAGAGCCAGAAAGGGTGTTATAATGAAGGAGAGCAAGGAATGAGAACACAACCTATCTGATGATGCTTTCTTCTGCAGGTAAATTACTCGGAGCTGTCATCTATCTCTTTTCTCCCTAATAAAGGGTTGCAAGTCCCATGGATGCCATGATGAATCTTTCAATTTACATCAAAAACAAATTTCATTATAGCAACATTAAACAAGTCCTGAGTTAACTGGGAGAAGGGGAATACCCACCCTCCCCCTTATTACTATTGCAAGGTAAAAAAATGATTAGTTATTTAACTCTTACATAGCACATTCATTAGTAGATCTCAAAACACAAACACTGTATCATTATCACTGTGTTGCAGATAAGGAAACTTAGTTAGAGGTGATAATTGGGGTCTCCCTACCTCTAATATCATCAATTCACAGACACTTACCTTCCTTCCTCCCCCTTCCCACCCCCCCGCCTCCTCCTTCTGTTCTGCAATGTGATTTGTCCTTTTCATATTTGTTCTTTTTTTTAATTGTATCCTTTGGTATATATGGTTGTGACTACTTTCTTCCACTATTTGATCTGAGGAAGTGGGTCTGGCCCACGAAAGCTCATCATCTAATAAACCATCTTGTTAGTCTTTAAAGTGCTACATTGTCCTGCATTTTGCTTCAACTACCCCAGACTAACACGGCTACATTTCTATCACCATGGTACTTATAATGCTTTATGACTGGTACTTGATCATTTATATAATTAATATGACTACTGTTAGACAACTGCAAAAAATCTTGTTCAAAGTATACCACGTAAGGTGTTGTTGGGAAAGTTATGATTTACAGAGTATGATTATCTTGTTTGTATGCACATACTGTATCATCTTTGTCAATATTTAAAATTTTAAATATTGACAATGCATGAGTATTTCAAATATGTTTGTTCCTGGGGTAACACCCACAGTGTGAAAGGACTGTTCAAGTTGATGGCTCCTTAAAGAAAGAACACTTAATACTCACAATGAACTATAGAAGAAATTCATCCAGCCCAATGAGTAAGGCTTACCAAATTCAGAGTTCATTCTGATCAATTTCACAATCACAGGATTTTTAAAATACTACATTCCCATTATTTCAACTCTTTAACTCTGTACATTTGCAGTGTTGTAATTGACCCAAAAAAGGAGTTGTAGGTAAGGGGCACATGGCTGTTAGGGGGAGTTTCAATACTGCTACCCTTACTTCTGTGCTGCTGCTTGCAGAGATGCTGCTTTCAGAGCTGGGTAGCTGGAGAGCGCTGCTAGTCAAGAACCCAACTTTGAAGGCAGAGCTGCAGCCAGGAGCAGCACAGAAGTAAGGATGGCATAGCAGGGTTATTGTCACTCTTTACTTCTGCTCCACTGCCTGCAGAGTTGGGCCCTGAGTCAGCAGCTGCCACTCTGTGGCTGCCCAGCTCTGAAGACAGCAGCACAGAAGTAAGGAAGTGAAGGATAGTATGGTGTTGTCACCCTTACTTTTGAGCTACTGCTGGCAAGGTGCTGCCTTCAGAGCTGGGTGACTGGCCAACAGCCACCACTTTCCAGCTGCCCAGCTGTAAAATCAGCACAGAACAATACCATGTAGCAATACCATGACCCCCCCCCCTAAAATAACCTTGTAACCCCCTTTGCAACTCCCTTTTGGGTCAGGACTCCCAATTTGAGAAACACTGGTCTTCACCGTGAACTCTGTGTAATATAGAGTAAAAACATAAAAAGATCAGACTTAATAGTGATAAATCAGTTTTCATGGTTCATGATGTGTTTTTCATAGCTGTGAATTTCATAGGGCCCTACCAATGAGCCTTCCTATGGATGCTTTAGCCAAAATATGAGTTATTAAAGTATACAAGGGCCTGTGACCCTGGACTCGATCGTGTGCCTGTAATTTTCCACAAACTAAGATTGAGAGCACAGAAGCATCTCCATTTTGCCTCTTTCCTGCTCTTATCTCTTGAAGCCCTTCCAATTTTTTGGACGTTACCAGCATCTTTACAAACAGGCTGTCTGTTCACTGCTATTACTATTACAAGCCAAGTCCAAGAACTCTGAAATGATTGTGTGGATACAATCCTTAATCTAACTCTTGTCTTCTTCTAATCTAGTTGATACCTTGGGATTAGAGGACACCATTCTATACGATGAAATTGCTGTTCAAGTAATCACTAATCAGAGTCCAGTGTCTGAGTTGAGACACAAGGGCTGGAACTCCTAAGGAGACTGCATTTTTGACTTCTCATTAACCGGTGTGGTGAGACCGAAGTTTATTTTTGTTACAGGGTTGGTATAGCTAATGGAAGAATAACCACCAGTTTGGGGTGAGTCTGCTCTATTTATCAGCAACTTCTCCTAAATCTGGTATTCTCAGCTGTGACCAACTGAGGCACAGTGACAGTGCTGTGCACAGGTATCCAAGGGAAGTCACTGCAATCTAAGTAGCTCTGCTAAGTGAAGACTTGGATCTGCACTGTAACATGGCTGTTTCTTTCCTCTGAATCATCTGTAATAATGGGAATAGTGCCTAACTGAGTTATCCCCATTCATGACTGTACACCAATTAGCCAGAGGGTTTAAATTAAAATTTTATTCTTAAAAACATGAACTCATGTTTGGTTCAGTACAGCAAACATCTTGTTCTTTCCCATCAACCTCCATCCAACAATACATCTCAGGGAAAATTCTTGTGCTGCTATTTCTTATGGGGTTACTCTTGATTATCTGAAGTTGTTGCAATAGTTATATGAAGTTTCAGGTACATTTATGCAGTCCACAGGCAACGTCATTAGTGTACTGCATACAACCCCATGAGAATAGCCCTATATATTTTTAGGTGATATGCTGTGAGAATTCATCAGTTTTTCCAGCCTCCTTTCAGAGAAGCATTCTGCCTTTATTGCATATATCATTACTATGTATCTAATAAAATAACTCAGGACTAGATGCCTGGGAAGCTGATAGTCCATTGTTGCATGGATGAAAAGTGCCTTAGCAAACACTGGAAAGATCAGAAGTTTAATTTCTGTTACCATTAACCCAGATGGCATGTGCTTTACTTTACATATGATTATTTTCTGCCAGATCCCGAAAGTCCCAGCCACTCTGGTTTATTGATTCAGAAAGACAATTCTTATATTAAAAAGAGCCCCTAAGTCTTCCCTAACATAATCAAACAAATACTTGGATACACTTCGATTATGCATAGTTCGATTTAAAAACAAATCTATTTTGGAATCAGCCACCCTGAGTAAACACATGCATATTTGCTTTCTTCTTTGGAAAAGTTAGGGACTCACTACATTGGCATGATACACTTCTCATGAGCACCCTTTCTGGTTGAGTGTGTCTGTGGACTTTAAACAGTCCTAGCCCTGGTATCAGGCCATACCCACAAGGCTTTCTCCCAGGAGGCAATGGTTTCACCATCTGCAGGCCCTTCTGGGGGTTTACCGCTGTACAACTGTAAGCCATTTGGTCAGTGGCTTTTTGGGAGGGGGAGGGCAGAACCTGAGCCTCCAGTTCTTCAGGTCTCAACCAGGGACCTTAAGAATAGCAGTAACCCACCATTGTGTCCCCTTAACAAAACTGCTTTAACTTCTCTTGGCCACTTCCCCACTGTCACAGCCTTCACTGATGCTTTACCCTTAGCTCAGGACTCTCCAGTGTTCAGCACCTGTAGCCACCAAGGAGCTCTTCCACACTTCCACCTCCCCCATTCTACCAGCACTGAGCTGTCCATGGTGCTGCAGTTTCCTTTAGGCAGCCTGAAGTTTCATCTGGACTCCACCAAAGAAATGGCTGGCTGCTCCCCACAGCCCCTCTGATAGACTGCAACGGGCTAGCCACTCTTAAGAATCTCAGAGGACTTAGCTCCAATGCTTCTTTCCTGGGATGGGTGTGACAGAACCCTGAGGCCTTCAGCATACTCACAATATACATTTATTAATTTTGGACCAGGAGCTTAATGGATCTGGAGCTAACACTTGTAGGAAGGAAAGTTACTTTGTTTCAAGCAGAAGGTTATTGGTCCCTTGAATGCCTATTAATATATTCCATAACAATTCCTCTCCACTTTCTCCATATAAGCTCAGATCCTTCAAAAACATATTGACTTCAGTGAGACTCCTCATCAGCATATAAAATTAAACATGTGTTGCATCAGAATCATCCTTTACACATTGATTTTAGATACAGGCAGTTTATCCATCATATGCTTGGGACAAAATCAATGTCATTGTGGTAGGAAACTGTTTACAGGACAAAAATAGTCATGATCTCACCCACTGAACCACTAGCTAATAAGCCAGGATCTTATAGCACTGAACTATGTACTTGATCTTTACTACTGTAATCCCTTGTTTCCTTCCCACCCCTTAATTAAATTTGCTTTATAAGGCATTGTCTCAGAAACATCCCTTCAAAGTTAATAAAACTGAACTCAGCCATTATTTTCTGCAATGCTAATACACAAAACATGGGAATGAAATTCTATCCATGGCACAGGGCTAAAATTTTACTGGGGGAAAAATAAGGTCATCTACTCTAGGCAGTTTCAGGACTGATCCCTTCAATATGTTCTGGGATAGCTTATCTAGGCCACCTTCCATCTCAATTACAGTATGAGATGCCGTTTTATATGGATATCAAAACACAGTACCTTTAGTTTTGCAGCCATATATTTATTAATTATAGAACAGTATAGAATAGTATAGAAAATATGGATATGATATTAATATGACATAACAGATATACTTTACGCAAGATGACTCATGCAAGATATCATTGGCAAGGTTATGTTTTACTGAATGTAATTATCCCATTTGTACGCATTTATCATTTTTGTATTTAAAGTTAGGAATCTATGTATCTGTATCTCTTCTTTGCTGTTTTGGGTCACTCCCACGACTGACATTTCATAGACTACAATGAAAAGCAGACATTGTGCTTGGCCTTCCTGTAGATGATTCACACTGGTATGGACTCACGGTTGCTGAATTGCCACCAAGTCAGGTGACTTGAACACCCAAAGGAGGATGGGATGAGGAAAATCAGACAAAGGATTCCCACCTTATGGAAATTCTATATAAGACAAGGGAGGAAAACAATGATGATCTGCAGTTTGCTTCTCCTCTGGCTTC